AATCCTATGTTACAAAGCTAATATAGGATAACAAGAACATTAACAAATTTCATTAGAATCGTTACATAACGTTTCAATAATTTTAACTTAACCCTAGAAATTAAATACCATGCTCAATAAATTACCAAACGTGTAATAAAATTCCATAATAGATTTTTTTTCAGGTTAAGCTGAACGCTACCGGATAGAAGCGAAAAAACTGCAAATGATCAAAACTTTACTTGAAAAGTTATTTATGGAACCTCAATTAAATTGCACGACAGTCGACATAACGAAAAAAATAACGCAAAACCACAGTCACATATTTAATAGCATTTAGCAATTATGGCTATTAAATATTCCATAGCAAGTGGTGATAAGTCGATGATGACATTATTGAACCTCAAAAATATTTTACACAGATATTTTATTCAGATCCAGCACGCGTCAAAAAGTAAATTCATTTGAGAGACTTTGCTATGATATATGCAATACATATATAGAATAAAGATCCAGAATATCTTATGAGGTAATATTACCACTTGGGGTGAATAAGCGAGTCAAGCGATTCACTTCAAGTTAGTTCAAGTAGTCCATCCCCTTATGATACCCTTTTTGTTCGGTACTATGATAGCTGTTCATTTCAATGAGAGTTTATTATCGTCATCTCTTATTTTCTTTGCATTTGATATCATATTTATTTTTAAAATATTTTTTTTGTTACTGTTCAGGGGAATATAATTTTTATCAAATGTACCGAAATAATATTATTTTACTGCTTAAAATTACATGACAAAGCTATCACATTAAGATTTCACTAGTCGTAATATAAACTAATAACTAAACCAAATGTAGAAATAATAACAATATTCAAGTCAAAAGTTTTATTATTTAACTCTTATTGTTTTAATAGTGTTTTTTTATTATTTCTATTCATCTCTCGACTTACCATTTGACTGCTGATTCAATTTTAATTAATGAAAATGTACCCATTGTGGTATATGAAATATTTGAACGGCATTCTAATAAACGAAACAGACCCTAAATTTTTAAGTAAAAATTTTAATATATCTTTTTTAGAAAAACAAATTTAATGAAAATTAAAAAGAATTTGCAATACAATACAAGTAATTTAGTCATAATGATCTATCAAAGTGCCGTATGGAAAATTTCTTTCGAAACTACAACGTATTTTGATATATTGAGTACGATATATTCATAAGAGGGCACTAAAAATTAATGCAAAAAAATTCACATAAAATAAAATTTTAATGACGCGAAATATGTGGAGCAAATTTAGCTTATCAGGAAATAAATTTTATTTGATTATATATTATATATATATATATATATATTATTGATTGAAAATACTAAAATATGTAGAAAAAGTGCGAAAAGATTGTCGCCGCTGTAGGAATCGAACCCACGTCTTCGGCATTCGCGGCCTGACGCTCTAGCCACTGAGCTAAACGGCTGATTACCACACCCACGAAAATCATAACGCATTCTTCCACATTGTTTTCTTAGCATTTGAAGCAATGCTTGGCGCCATCTATTGTTATATCCTTTCCAGCATACAAACAATTTCCAATATCGTTTTACAACGATAATTCGAACGAGAGATGTCGCCATTGCTTTTTTAGAAATTTAAATTGTTTATAGTGCTAATCTTTGCACTTAAGATTGAACATTAAAATATGTAGAAAAAGTGCGAAAAGATTGTCGCCGCTGTGGGAATCGAACCCACGTCTTCGGCATTCGCGGCCTGACGCTCTAGCCACTGAGCTAAACGGCTGATTACCACACCGACGAAAATCTTAACGCATTCTTCCACATTGTTTTCTTAGCATTTGAAGCAATGCGAATTATAAACAATTTAAATTTCTGAAAATACTAAGTTAATTATATTAGTAGGAGCGTTTAAACGTTAAAGAAGCAGTAATCGGTTATTAAAATACCTACATGTATAACAGATTTTATTATTGAGTGTATAAATATAAATTAACACATTTCAATTTACTTACGTAACAGTAGAAACTTTCTCAATTTTAAAGAAGCCTAACTGCATAACTGCAGGTCCTTGATCAAAATTCAATAAGGGTAGCAATAAACTGGTTATTATTATTTATTTATCATGAAGCCAAAGTTCAATTTATGCAAAGTGAAAGCACAAACTAAGGGCGCTGAAAGGCAATCTCACTCTACCCTGATCAAAGGCTAGGGCCGGCACTGATGACACTACAAAGGCGGCCGCTTTTATTCCAAACAGAAAATTTATGATTTATCCACTTGAAGTACGTCCTGGAAAACTGTAATTCACCTAATCGGCAAAGGATGGCAAAGCGAAGCTGGAGGGGTTTCAACTTTTTCCACTATTGGCATTTCAATTGACTTCGAATTTATATTTAGATACCTCAACATATAACTCAAAAGTTTGACTTTTTTAATATACTATTAAAAATATATTTCACTGAAAGAACATCGCCATGTAAAAATAATAGTAGTATTGAAAGAATAATTACAAAGATCGATTTTCCTATTTCGACTAAGCGCAACATTTACTACAAGTTCTCAAATATAAAATCTTCATTTTCGAAATCGTCATTTATATGTTCTCGAAAGATTTTGCCTCAATTAGATACATTTTATCTCAATTCCGGCTCCTACATCGAATAGAATAGAATAGAATAGATCTCTGAATGTGGCGATGCCAATATTGTGAGGCGATTGGCTACGTCATTCATCCGTACAGCTAAGAAATGGAACAATCTGCCAGCGTCCAACTTTCGTTCCGATTACAACTTAGAGGTCTTCAGAGCAAGAGTGAATTTGCTTTTCCTGAGGTACTATTAGCGCGCTTATCATCAATGGCTGCGTCGTTACTTATAATCAGGTGGAATAACAGACAAACACTGGCCAGTTACGTATAAAAAATCTACCTATATATCGCTGATATAGTGTAGAAAGGTTTGATGGCGAAAAAAATATCTGTCTGACATATAAGATATCTGGATTATTGAAATAAAACAATCGTTGCACATATCTTCGTGGAGGTACTCGGTGCACGAAAATTCATTTTGAATTAACATCTCTGAGAATTATTTACGAAGGCAAAGCCGACCTATCCATCCGGCCCGTCGGGTCTGTAACGTCGGAAGGCTAAGCCGGTCTTGACTAATCACTTTGTGCTTCGATGACTTGATATTGATCTTCGTTACTGCTTACTGCGTTAGAAAGAACATTAACAATTATGTCACTTTAATCAAGAAGCCGTGATATGTCACTATCCGGGCGCTTGCTTTTAATTCAGTATGCTCTATTAACCTGATGTCACAATTAATATATTGTCAATATAATAAAAACCCTTGACATTTTTTTATTTATTCATACTTTATTGAAATTACCTTAATCTAGGATTACAAAGGACGAACTTAATGCCTTTAGGCAATACTCAACGAAACAATTTTTCACACAGCTCACTATCCTTATTTCATGTTGTGTTTCCATTTCATTCCTCGTACCTTTTATGGAACTTTTTAAAATCGTTAATATTGTCTGAATAATAAACAACTTGTACAGATTGCTAATAAAAATTTTAACCGAATAGTCGTACAAAAATAGTGCATACATAATTTTACCTCACCACGATGGGAACTCCCTTTCTAACCATCCGTATCCCATCTTCTCCGGCTGGTAGAATTGCGCTGCCGGAAGGCTCAACCATCAACTATGCTAAAGTAATGGCAGATGCTAAAACAAAATTCAACTGAAGGACTTTGGCATCGAGATTATTCAATAAAAGCATGTCGTGTGAGTCATGACTGGGGGTATAGTGCATGTAATTATAGAGATAAGCGGTTCTACCTGTGGCTAGAAAGCTGACAAGCTTGCGGATAATCTGCGTAAGGTCCTGTCAGATTTTAACGTAAATAGTGGAGGAAAACGTATATATAGCGGATGTCAATCCTATCAAACCTGATATAACGATTAGGGCGATTTAAGTTGTGCTGACAAACCGCAAAGTTGTTTAATCTAATAGATTTTACTGTCACAGATCAATCATGCTCTCTAAAAGAAAGATCGGTTACTAACTGGGATGGATGGTGGTGAGAGTAACCATTTAAGTATGTATTTGTATGAGTTACCTTCCTATATACAGTGTGACTTAAGGTAGGTATTATTTGGATTGTGGATGACCAAAACATCTTGAAAAGCTAAATATTTGCCATTCTCCAATTCCTAATTTATTATTATTTTTTTATCAATGCTTGTCGTTATCTAAAGTGTTTTCATTACAGCCAGCTTACTTTCTCAAATACCTAACATTTTTACAATACATTTTCAAAATTTCAGAACTACTTTTACAAAAGTAACAATTAACAAAAAATTAGACGGTCTTGTGAACATAGCCTCCGATAACTAAAGCAAAATTAAATTCGATAAACTTTGTAACATACTTTTATTTATTTTTTACAAAGGTAAAAAATATTCGCTTTTAAACGAAATCATACTTTCGGAAAAAAAAATGATGAAAGTCTGCTTAATTAAAGTGTATTTTTCGGACCTAGTGAAAATAATAGCAAGTATTAAAATTTAGGTATTCACTGATATTGGTTAGGATCTGATTGGTTCCGTATTATAAAAACTTTTCTTTCCGTTTTAGTAAATGTGACATATAAATATAAAGTCGGTACTAAATTAGTTATATAACTAACTCAAATACTTTTGTAATTAATGGTATAGTTAATTTCAAATTAATATTTTCTTACTTGGATATTTTATTCAGATAAAAAAATATTTTTTTTTACATTCTAAATTACATATTTTCGGTTAGTATTATTATCTGATCCTGACTTCATCACAATTGATGTCATTTTGACATTTGACACAGCCGTCTGTTGTTATCGAAATCTGCACCCACCCAAATATCCCGTTATTATTAGAAATTTATTTCTTCCTATCAGTTATAAAAAAAAAAAGATAATTTAAACGAAATAAAAAGCCTTAATACTGTATTAAGAATGTCTCATCAAACTGGTATTCAAGGTATAGCAAAAACTTTTATTACTCAATCTATTTTAAGTTAAAATAAGAATAAGTTAACTCAGTGAAGTGTGAACATACATTATAACGGTAGGAGGACTACCCAAGTATTCGCTGTTACACGAATGGGCAGGTCCGTCCGGATAAGTACCACGACCTCACAGAAGACCGACTTGAAGAAGTGCTACACTTCTGCGTTTCCTCTGCTAAATGAGGTAGCAGGGTCCACTTTATTAAAAGGTGGCAACGCAGCTGCTACCCTACGAGTGTTGCAATGCCCATGGGCTTTGGTTATCACTTAACATCAGGTGAACTCGCCAGATCGTTTGACAGTCTCCTATATAAAAAACAAAAATTTATCCAAAAATATTTAACAGTTTTTAACACTTCACTGCCGCTTCTTAAACTTAGTGACAAATTTACTCTAATTATATCTAATAAATATGGTTTAATAATGTTAATTAAAAAAAATCATATAAATATTTTTCCTAACAGATGATTAATCTGGAACTTCTGGAATCAAAAAGATAGGATTTGACTCTGTCCTGACTCCTCTTTGATGATGATATTTAGCAAGTTGAACTGAAAATTATTTACTAGAATTAGATAACTTTAATAACTTTGTATCATGTAAATCAAAATTATTAATTCCAGCTAATGCAGAGTTGAAGAAATACTTCACTAAATGTCAAGATGGCAAAATTCGGACATTAAAAATAAGTATTGATAATGGTAATATACCTAAACTACAAATTTAATAAAATAATAATTACCCATTGTATAATTATGTTTTACAAGTTATTTTTTTAGAATTGAAAAAAAAATTGTATATATTTGTTTTACTGTAATTTTCAGAACAACTAATATTAGCCAAATATCAGCCAGTAAAAGGTTCCTGGGAACATGACTTTGATAAATATGTGCCCTTTCTAGTTGTAGATGACCTCCCTTGCTACATTTTATACAGGTAAAAACAACAGGTATTAATAATTCCCCTTTAGGGTTTCGTACCCAAAGGGTAAAATGAAGGGTAAAACTAGTATTAAGACTCTGCTGTCTGTTTGTCCATCTATAAACAGACAGTATCTCATGAACCATAATAGTTAGTCTGTTAAAATTTTCACAGGTGGATGTATTTCTGTTGCCGTTATAACATCAAATACTAAAAAACAGAATAAAAAAATATTTAAGTGAGGCTTTTAATGTCAATAAATACTAAATGAAAACTATTTTAATATCAAGCTTAGTTACTTAATTAAGCCTGAAAAGTTAAGACTAATTTGTTAGGAAAACCATGCTTAATATTGTAAAGAAGTTTCAAGACAGTCAGTGTGTGTAAGGCATTAACATATATTATACACACTCATTCATTGTAAAAGAAAAATTAAGATTATTTCTATAATAGCAAAATTTTATTTTTAATTAAAAATAAAAATAAATATATTATGTGAAAAAACACTAAGATTTATTTTTTTTAGATTCGACTCATCTAACTCTCTTGGACATGAATGGTTGCTTCTTAGCTGGTCTCCAGACAGCGCACCGGTCAGGCAGAAAATGTTATATGCATCAACCAAAGCCACACTCAAACAAGAGTTTGGAACAGCCCACATAAAAGATGAAATGCATGCTACTAGCAAGGTAAAGAAATTTATTTGTTTTGTATATTAAGAAAACACATAACTAACAACCGTGACGAAAACTTTCCTAGTATTTATAATCAGATTCAAATAATTCACACCCCCGCATGGATTAGGTTTATTAGATAATATGTAATTTTAGATAGATTTAATCTTGCAAATATTAGATCATTCACACAATACCCAAATTGGTTAAATAAAATATAGACAACATTTTTGCAGTTATATTGTATCAATTAGGGTGGTGAATCATATTATTTCATTGATATTATATTTTCAATCATACATTATGACAGGAAAATGTGCAAATAATTTGATAAAATAAATTTACTGTCAAGGTTTTAAAAAAATCAATTATTTATTCTATCTAAAGTTTGATTTTACACTTTGTTTATACCATTGTATACAAAATTGTTCATCAATGCTGTCATTATAAAATTCCAGGATGAGGTCTGTCTCAAGGGATACAAAGCTCATTTGAGTGGAATAAATGCCCCAGCTCCTCTAACAGATAGAGAAGAAGCTCTAAAAGAGCTACAGCAAAGTGAACATAATCCCAACTACGGCACCGATTCAAGGTAATTTTTATATTATGTCCATAAACAAACTGGTGCTAACACAAAACAAGTTTAATTATTAGAACTATGACAAAAAAACGATGATACTGTACCAAATCACGACATTGATTTGGCAATGGAATTACTAAATGGCACCTTCAACTTTATTTATATGCCTACCTCTAAACAAAAAAATGTGATGTTACAAAAAATACATGATTTTGGCAAGAAATCATTTTAAGGATCTTTTATTTATTACTTGTCCATTATAACCTTACAAACAAACAAATAATAAAGAAAAAACTATGAACCCCAACTAAAAAATGTTTTGAAAATAATTATAATTTTTCCACTAAATCAAAAATTATTAATTGCATATGAATTGTAATTCTTTGTATTCTTTTTAAGCATAAATAGCAAGCTTTAGAAATGTTTATTACTATAAGAAGAAGACAAAGTTTACTAGCTGACCCGGCAAATGTTGTTTTGCCATATAAATTAATTGTAGGGTATAAAAAAAGGATAGGGTAGGAACACCTTTAACATTTAGGGGGTTGAAAATAGATATCCGATTCTCCACCCTGGCCGATATGCACACAAAATTTCACGAAAATTGGTCAAGTTGTTTCGGAGGAGTTCAAATACAACACCATGACATGAGAATTTTATGTATTAGATGAAAATTTATTTCTATTTTACAGACAATCTACAATGGGTGGAGTTGCATTTCCAATAACTGAAGCAGCAAAGAAAGGCATTATAGATCTTCAACATGGTTCCTATAATTATTTACAATTTAAAATAGGTAAATAACATATTATTAAAAATTATGTATCAAATCTTTAATAGTGTGTTATAAACTTTAACTATAAAGATCACTTGGCTTATGTAGTATTAATACATAGTTGTAAATGCATATGTGTAACCCAAACAGAAAAATAAAAAATGTTGCCATGTTCCAAAAAACATGCAACTTTTTTCTTTTACAAATATTTGGTTGGTTGGTTAGGTAGCGTAGGTTGAACATAGAGTAGGTTTCTTATTTTACCAGAAGTCAGGGTAAAGTTAGTATTGATTAATTGAGTGATATTTCGTCTTTAATACATAATCATAACTTCATTTCAGATATAGATGAAGAAAAAATTCACCTTTCAAAAGCGGCTGTGATCCAACAAGTGGAGTTACCCAAACAAGTGCCAAATGATCAAGCAAGATATCACCTATTTATATTCAAGCACACACATGAAGGAGATTATTTAGAGAGTATCGGTAAGAATATCTGTCCTTACATCACATTTTGTATCATTCCTAAGTTGGCTATGAATCTGGTAGAACAACACAATATTTTTTTTTTCACTGTCATACCTTTGTAATAAAATAAAATGCTTATTATATTTATGATAATTTGCACTTGCACTTATCCCACTAAGGGACACAACATGTGAATGATATTGTTGCGGTGAAGCAAAATATCGTGAGTAAATGCATATTTTCGAAATAATAACAAAAAAAATATTTCGAAGATATTCGAAGCAGCCAATCCTCAGTAGGGCCTCGTGATGGACTGTGGCCTGATTACTTCTGTACAGAAGAGGCCTTTGCCCAGCAGTGGGACAGGCTGCTGCTTTTTAGCGTAATTTAGTTTTTTAGGTATAAATACCCAGATTCGGAGCAATTATCCGTAGGTTACACAAATACTTGTTCCATGTAGGAATCGAACCCACGATTACTAGCGCCGAAGCCAAGAGCTTAGCTACACGCTCACCTGGCTTCGCTCCTCGCTTTCAATATATTAATTTTTCTAAAAACTTCTAATAACTTTGTGTCTAATAATTTTTTTTTACGAAACAATAGGAAAAAGATCAGAAAGAAATATGCATGATTACATGACGACTCAGTTGTCACTAAGGAGGTATTATTAATTAACTACAGATGCTGAACTTGTATTACATTAAATAAAGCAATTTTTTCAGTAACTGAATGGTTTGTACCAATTAGTTGATAAAAATCTAAACCAAGCATTGGCGCTACTGTTCACAATGCACCTATAGGCTGCACTAAACTAAAATGTGGCCAAAAATATTTTATAGATGAGCTAACAAAATGACTGTTATTTTGGTTTAAAATACAGTTCGTCTTCTTAGGCGATGGTCTACGCAGAGTCATTTTTATATTTTTTTGCAGTGTTCATATATTCTATGCCTGGATACAGTTGCAGTATTAAAGAGCGAATGCTATATTCAAGTTGCATTGGGACTTTCCTGGAAATAATAGAGAAAATGGGCATAGAAATTGCCAAAAGAGTGAGTCTGTGTTTTATTAATAAAATGACTTCGCTCCCGGCTCCGCCCGCATGTACTACATTTTAAATCGTGCTTAAAATATCGGCCCGCCGCTTTTCCTGGCTCAGCTTATTTCCTGTTTAGGAAGTTGGGTTCAAGGTCATTCTAACAGTACCAAAAAGTAAACATATTTTTTCGCAAAGTTATAACATTTTAATCTATCCAATGCTGGTGGGTCGAGAAAGACTGTAGGCCGCGCAATGACGGAAATATCGTTGGGGGCGCATTTTTACCCGCTGCCGCAGCTTCGTGCGCAAGTCCGATTCGCATTTGGTCGGTTTTTTTAACTCTATATAAAATATCAATCATCATTTTATAGACCAAAATACATTAATTATGACGACCCGAATGGCTTAATGGGTAGTGTACCTGCCACCTGCGCCAGAGGGTGTGGGTTCGATCCCCACTACTGGAAAAATATTGTGTGAAGAACATAGTGTTTTTCTAGTGTCTGGGTGTTTATATATGCATAATTTGTATTTACTTACAAAAGTAAAGTATGCTTAAGTTTGTTTATCAGTTATCTAGTACCCATAGTACAAGCATTGCTTAGTTTGGGACTAGAGAATGTTGTGTAAAAATGTGTCATAAAATATTTATATAGATAAGTATAGTTTAATCCAATTAAATCTTCAGCGGTTCTTTAAGTTGATATAACTTCATTTATTTATGAACCAATTTAAATAAAACAGTAAATGTTAAGTGAAGCATACTACAATGCATTAGTGAAAATTACACCCATATCGGCTAAGCCATTTCTGAGATTAGCGGGCACAAATGCACAGATAAACAGACAAAATTTTTTAAACTCATTGATTTGGGTTCTGTTACGTTGATAAAGACTCCCAATAATATTTTTTCTCAAATACCTTTCATGTGCAGACAATAATCAGTTACATCTTTATTATAGTATCTATTTATATTTTTGTCCTTGCAGTTGGAAATCGACGATGGCAATGAGCTGACTGAGGAGTTTCTGTATGATGAAATACACCCGAAGAGGAATCTGCACCGGCCTGCCTTCGCAAAGCCTAAGGGTCCTCCAAATCGGGGTGCAAAGAGAATCACCAAGACCCAGTCTACTCAGTAATAGGATTTACAAAGCTATATGAAGCAGAGGATGGACAAGCGAGCTTATGCTTATTAGTATTAATCTTTCAAGTTGCAATATTAATAATGTATGTGAACTATTTAGATGTGTCTTTCTTTAAAGCATATTTTTTTAAGTGCTGCATGACATTATTGTTCCTTTTATAAAAATCATGTACATTTGGCAAAAAAAAGTTATTTTAATCGTGTTTCATGAGAGCACATTCTCTTCTCTCTTAAACACTACTTTTAATTATAATATATTTGATTTTTAAATTAAATTAGTGTTTCTCAATTTTTTATAGTTTTTAAAAAAGCTTTTATGTACTTTTTACGATTCTTGTAATTGAAAATTTTTGTGCGCAACTTTCAGGTTTAAATTTGGCTGTCAAATTCACAAAATTATATTGTTGATATAATACCCAAGTCATTAAACACTACAATTTTAGACTGAATGAGTGCACTAACAATGAAGGTTTGTTGAACTTTTGCACTAAAACATTTATATTTTGATATGTATACAAGCCTGTATTATTGCATAATCAAAAAAAAAAAAGTATTATTAATCTTATTGAAACTAAAGGAAAGAATCACTTGTTAGTTGTCACCTAGCAGTAACATGATTGTATATTTGTCTTTTCTTTTGATAGAATAACAAACACTATTAAACAAATGAAATATGTACACAGTAAATCATAACAAACATCATTATTATAATGATGTTCCCCATTGTTCCATGTAAAAACAACTGAGTAATCATCATGCAACAAAAGTTTATGCTAGTTAAACAAATTGTTTGATAACATGTGAATAAGATATCTTTTTATACACAGATGTTATATAAAAACTAGAATTATGTATAGGAATTATCCATAGTCTAGAGATTAAAATGTAATTACAGTTAGCATGTTCCTTTAACTAGACTCGTGTATCTGATTGACATAAATTTTAAATGACGTTATTTAATAATCATTAACACTTCACAGAAATGTATTATTTAACATGCTATTATACTTTTGTTACACTAATGTCCTAATATTACATAATCTGTAAAGGATTTAAAAGGTAATTTATTTAAAAGCCAATATTAACTTATTTCCATCCCAAACCTGTGGAATCATGTTAGAATAAATCAAAATGTTTATGCATTCATTAATAATGTATTGCAATGTAACGCTATTTTGTATAATTTTCAACAATACCTATTCAAGTAATTTCACCAGGGTCCACAGTCACGGGACAAAAGGGTTTCGATACGTCGGCAATAAAAATAAAAATTATACTATTCGCATAAACTCTATAGATATTTTTTTAAGAGTTGGGACTTATGCAATCCCTTTAGTTATCCTGCGATTTGAGACGATCTCTAATAATGTTATGTTTGCTCAATCATTTGTTAATAACAAAATCGATTTTATGATGGAAGAGTAAAAGGTTCCATAATTATCTTGCCATGAATTATCAGTGATGCATAGAATGTCATCTATATAACTTCTCGTGCTTTGTCAGAATCTTCCCCAAAAAGTATAGTAAGAATTTTTCCAAATTAATGCACAAGAAACAATTTTATTAATCCATATATTTTTCTAAGGGTAATATGTATAATCATCGTTTTTATTCGTACCAAATTAAAAGTGAATAAAGTGCTTTTACTATAAACATTTTCCTTTGATTTAACCGTTCTCATTATTCGTTTCGCGTGACAATCAATATCAGCCTACTGCCGTCCACTGCTGAACGTAAGCCACGTAAGCCACGCAAGCCCACAAAGTTGGCCAACCATCCCGGTCCAATGCAGCCCGCCACCTTTCTTTAGTCGTCAGTCCATCGTGCTGCAGGCCGTCCGACACTACGTTTTACTAACCGTGGTGTCCACTCTAACACGTGTCGGCTCCAGCGACCATCATGTAGTATCTAGGCCGGCACAACTTTGAAGAGGCCAACCGAAGAGTACGCTTAGGCTGGGCGGCATTCGGGAAGCTACGACACGTTTTTCGTCAATACCGCAATGCCTCGAGTCCAAAGTTTTTAACCGGTGCGTCCTACCAGTAATGACCTACGGAGCCGAAACGTGGACACAGCGTGGGGCTGGTCCACAAATTCAAGGTCGCTCAGCGGGCGATGGAACGCGCAACGCTTGGGTTTTCTCTGGTAGACAAGATACGAAAAGAAGTCATTAGCCAGAGAACTATTGTTACTGATATTGCCCGCTGAAGTGGAAGTGGGCTGGACATGTCTCCAGACGTACTGATCACGTGACAATGAAAATTGAAAATTACAAAAAAAGCTAGCGCTCAGTGTCCGGGCGCTCGCCTTTAATTCAATATACTCTAGCAACCTGAGTTCGATCCCCGGTGCCGGCACCAATGAAGTTTTTAACTTTAAGTGCTGACTTATCACGTGCTCCGCGGTGAAGGAAAACATCGTGAGGAAACCTGCATATTTTCGAAATAATACCAAAAAAATTATTTTTTCGAAGATATGTGAAGTCCGCCAATCCGCAGTGGGGTCGCGTGGTGGACTATGCCCTGATACCCTCTGTATAGAGGAGGCCTTTGCCCAGCAGTTGGACATGTATAGGCTGTTACTTTACTTTTTCTTTAAAAAAAAGCGCCTGATTTTAAATTAAACGCAATAAAATTAGTAAAAATAGTTTCACGTGCAAATCTTGTTTTGAGGATTAATATACGGTTTTTAATTCCTGAGCGTATTACTATTGTACAATTTTCTGATTTCCATTGAAACATGTCCACAAAAGAATATGTAAGTTTGGCAACAATTATCATTCCCGCGTAATACATTACGTAGCATACCAAGTAAATTTGAAACTTTAAATGAAACCTCATATATGTACTGCATATCTATATTTACAAAACATTGCATAACGTTACAATTATTTAAATTACAACAATTGTACTATCTAAATAATTAATCAATTTCCTCAACTTTTTTCTGTCCTTTCTCTGCTACCAGAACATCGTGGTGTTGCGTTAAATTGTCGTGCTTTTCTTTAGCTGATTTCTCATAGGCTTGGTCTAACTGATTCTTTCTGAAAACAATAAAAAACCATTAATTTCTTTCCATGCAAATCGAGACAGAACAAAGTTCCTTAAAACACAATTTCTTAAACGTGGATAATATAACAAGACAGTTACAGGTGAAGTTATAGTTCTAGACTTTTTTATTTTATTTGAAAACTCAAGTAGTAAAGATGAAAAGATTAATGCTGATTTTCATATAAAAGTTTTCTCCCTGGATAATGACAAGAGCAATGTTTCTCTTTTTCACAAAAAATCGGGCCCAATTTTCACGTCACTGCGTTTTTCTTTTTGTCTTAAAAGTATTTATTAACCGATATGAACCTTTAAAAAGTAAAGATTTGTCAATTTTTTTGCTTTTTTAAAACATCAAGCAAACAAATTTGATAAAATTATATAAAAAAAAATTAATTCAGCAATTTAAACAAACACTAATCTTGGCCAGCATCCTTGAGCATTATCATTTAAGAGGATTGACAAGCACCCCATAACGTAATGACCAGTCCTTTATTGTTTTGATTCCATTATGGAGGTCATCAAGTTGAGATTGAACATAAAGCTACAGATCCTCATATGTTCTATATCTTGTAACATATATATGTCATATAATATAAAGCGGAACAATTTTTAAAGGCCGCGCAGTATGGACATGCATCATATTTATTAAAACATCATTGCATACGTCCATACACACACTCAGAAAATATATTATGTATAACCTTCCTTTTGACGTCAGAATATAGATGATGCATGAATTTGATTTTCTGTAAGTGCAAAATTGCAGCGTAAACAAAATGTTTTAGTAAAGCTTTTTGGATTGTTTTTTTTTGTTTTTGTGTTTGTGGTGTCTGCCTGTTAATGTTTGTCACATTGGTAATTAACCATGATTTAACTATCACCTTTTCAATGTTTAATGTGATATGTAAACATATATTGGTGAATCTTTTAAGGAAATAAATAAATATTTATTTATTTAAAAGAGGCAAGCCACACTTTAACGCACATATATCGCTATCATCACTGATGGCTCCATTGTTCCAGCACAGGGCAACAGGAACAGACTTTCTAAATATTTATTTTCAACTCTCTTGCATGTTTTGTCTCAACAATTAAAATCATATTTAAATTTTCAAATCAAAATAGGTAGTTACAAACAAGTTTTTCTTAATTCAACTATATAATTTATTAAGAAGAAACTCTATTTTTTTTGCTAGTGCCATTGTTTAAGCTAACAGAGCGGCTGCTATTATATTTTTTAGAATTTAAAGTTTATATCATAACATGAAGGAGGATGTTGTTTCAAACAATGAAACTTATCAAAAATACCATACCTGGCTTCTTTAACTTTATAAAAAACTCTTCTTATATCATCCATGGAAACTCCTGCCATTTTTAAAACACTTAAAATAATGAAACCCCCCACTGCACTAAGAGTAGCACCTGAAATGTAAAGCATGCAATTTTAACACATCATATAGTTAGGTAATTGTATCTGGTCCCAAGTTTAATTGAAAATAATTATTGTTGTAGTTGAATTTTTTTTAAGGAAGATGATGTCAGTCAAGCAAGTAGATCACATAATATTAGATATATGATGACATAATAACCCATGGTGTTGCAGATGCCATGTTACTTATTTCGAATAATAAATTAAACAAATTGTATTGTATAGTATTCAGCCACTAGTGTCGCACTGTTGGGCAAAGGCCTCCTTCCATTTCTTCCACTGCACCCTGTCGTGGGCCACCCTGTCGGTATACCAGACCAATCCCTCGCAAATGCGTCCAGTTCGTCGCGCCATCTCCGTCTGGGCCTGCCACATGCCCAATTTACATTTTGTGGGACCCATTCTGTAGTAGATTTGGCCCAAAAGGTGTTAGGCATGCGGCAGACAGGACCAGCCCAGTAAAATATAAGCTTGGCGGCTTTTTGCCCGCATCGGAAATCCGCATTCGGGATCGCAGTGTCATTTCTTATGCGGTCCATAAGCTTTAGACCTAGCATGCTGCACTCCATAGCCCGCTGGCAGACCGCGAGTCTGGACTTCTGCATCTTTGTCAAAGACCATATTTGTGCACCATATGTGAGGATGGGGAGAATGCACATGTCCATGAGTTTCCTCTTTAGACAAATAACACTGAGTATTTTACAATGTACAAATGTGAAGAAAAATAATTCTATAAATAGCAAAGTTGTAACACTTCATGCCAGTCTGTGAGAACATAATACTTCCACTGACATTTCCCATTTCAAAAAATAAAAAAAATGTGGTAAACAAATTCAAGACAGTTTTGTAATTAACTTTAAAAAATACACATAAGGTATATTATTAATGAAATGTTTATGAGACAGGAAACAAATTATTTAATATTTAAGAGGCATTCAATTTATTTTATGGAAATACATACCAACACCAGCTCCAACAAGCATTGCTGCAACTCCTAAATTGGCTTTATACACAGCTCCAGTAATTGCTCCAGCCATAATGTAATCAACAAGTGCTGGTACACCACGATACACAGCTACTGTAGTTGTAATTAAACTGTAAAAATAGGTGACATAAACAGTTAGTATTTTTTAGATACCCTCTATAAAGATCGCCCCCATATACCCTCTATACAGAGGAGGCCTTTGACCAGCAGTAGGTCCAATGTAAACTGTATCTTTACATTTTTTTTTTGTTCTTTAGATGTAGATCTGGTTTTTAGTAAGTCTGGCTGAACCATCTACTTAACCTTTTTTCCCCGTTTCTTTTTTAATTCTTCTGTGGACTGTTTAAGATGTTAATCTGTGGTAATTTACAAAATTCAGAAGGGGTTGAATCAAACCAAATATATTCTTCAATAATTTCTCAAGATTTACAATTAATTGTCTGGTAAAACAATATAATTCAATGAGTATTGAAAAAGAATATAAACTTAAATAAAATAAAGGTAACATACCTAAAACATCCTGTAAACACTCCCAATCTCCAGCCCCAGTGTACTGCGCCTTTTGCAAATCCAATTGTTACATAATCTTGTAATTGTTTCTGTGAAAGAAACAGGTTTGAGTAAGTACACAACCTGCTATAGCCAATTTTTATTTACCTTTGCACCAAAAATATTACTTGTTTAGTAGTCACTTACCTATTTCAATGTATATTAAAAAATAGATAACAGAATTAAATCTTCAACTTTACATTGTAATTAATTCTACCCAGTTTCAAATTAAAAATTTAAATTCCTAAATTATGTATATGTATTAAACATAGAAAGGTAACATACATTGTGATATATATGTTACTAAATATTAATCATATTTTGGTATATATACAGCTGAGACAGAAAGATATTCTAAATATGGAAGTTGTTACCTTAGCTTGCATGGTTGTCTTAAAAGCAGTTGCTTGATTGCTTTCTATAAAATAAAGATATGCATCCCTGGACTTAACAAAGCCTCCTAAGCATGCACCAAAAAACACCCCAGATAATGTTGTTTGCATGACATTATGAAGTTCAGGTGAAATCTCTTCATATTCACTGTAAATATCATATAATCACACATAAGTCTATTTCTAGGTTTTTATGTTTTATTTTTGTGGTTACCAAAACTGGGGATCTGTGGTGATTTTATGCTTCGACTACTTGATCTACATACAGATTCATAAACAAACTCGATTACAATTTTTAAACAAGGTTTTTTAAATTTTGTTTACAAATAAATCCGTCAACTATGAAAACTGGTGTGACTGAAGAAAAGGCTGTGCTTTAGAAGAAAAGGCTTTTACTGTCTGTATGGTATAGGACAAGGTATTCTGGGTTAATTTTTTTACAACAATATAAGTACATAATTACTCAATACACTTACTTTTTCGTATACATTTTCTTTACTCTTTCTAATCCATTTTGAGGTGTATACTGCTTACTTTTTTGAAGTTTATTGTAATCATTTTCATTTCGTTGTTCAAAGAGAGGAAAAATAAAAGACGGAGTTAAACGAATTGCAGTCCTCAACATCTTCGGTAAAGATATATTTTACAACTTAATCCCTAGATGTTTATATGATACTTTTGTCAAAACAGCCAAAAAAGACAAACACATGTTGAACACACAGACGGGGCTTTAAAAAATATATTAAAGTAACTAGACATAGGAATAAAAATTACGACAGTCCACTAGGAAATTAGGCACAGATGTTTCTAGTTTCTAGTTGTTTTTTTTTTTTTTTTTTTTGGATTTTATGGCCCGGTATCAAGGACCTTTAGGCCAATCTAGTTTCTCTTTCTAGTTTTCTAGACATAACTTAGATAATTAATACATAATTAGATACTTAATGTAGGGATGCATAAAAAATATCGATACATCGACAATTTTTAAAATATACCGATTTTTTGGCCAATGTATTTTGATCCGATATATCGATATAAAAAATTGAATATTGAAATCGTATCAAAAACAATATTTTTATTCAAACTGATTCAAAGCCGTACAAGGTAAAAATGAACGAAAAAAAAACCGTGCTCTAACTAGTATTGTCGCCGATGCAGAGTTGCATTTTGTACTATAATTATGGTATTTTTACTATAATTTGATCTTGTATCTTGTATTAACTGATGTTTGTGCTTTCAGTCCAGAGACTATTAAAGCTTCATCTGACGCAGAACCGGTGGGCTAGCTAATGTGTTTGTTGCTACACTAACTGTGTGTGTAGTGTTATCCGGCGGGACCCCCGAGGGTGGGTCCGACGTACCTAAGTCCCCTTCCTCGGCTGGGTCGATGAGGACGTTTCGCGGGCGACGCTTGTTGACGCTCGCGTTTGGATCGGGTTGGTAATTTGCTGCGCTTACCACCAGAGGGTTGGGATGATGTTCGGCTCTATCGAAGAACCGTTTGGTCAGGTCTTTGAAAAATTCGCGAATCATCGGGAGTCTGCAATCACTGTGCACGTCGACGTTGCGTTGATACCACTGCGCACCGGTTGCGCGGCGGATGAACTTATTTTGCACTACTTGCAACTTGTGCAAGCGAGTAGGGTGCGTGTGGGCGAAAATCAAGCATGCGTAGGACATGATTGGCCGTACGCAAGCTTTGTATAAAAGTAATTTGTGTCTTAAGGACATTTTACTTGAATGGTTAGTTAAAGTGCTTAGCCGGCCGGAGACGAACGCGGCTCTGTTACGGACGTTAGAAATATGCGCTGTGAATGACATACGCGAGTCGAAAGTGACTCCTAAATATTTTACCTTTTTCTCCCAGGGGAGCGGTTGGTCATAAAGAGATATTTGCCCTAGCTTTCTGCATTGGCGACGACCTTTATAAAGATGTGACGGGTAAGTACTTCGTGTGAAGTGAATCGCCACACTCTTTTCGGGATTTACTTCAATTCTCCATTTGCGGAACCAATCGCCGAGGCGGTTGGCGGCGCTTTGGAGTCGAGTGGTTACAATTTGATGCTTCGTGCTATAAACTACCCATATCTTAGGTACAACATGGTATAGAGGTATTTACAAATCATTAATATTGAACTACATATTACGTCAATATATAAATAGCATATTTACGGCATCAACTAAATTCACTTTAATTTAATTTGTATAAAAAGTTAACAAAAATTTTATTATAATTAAATTCTCAATAAATAAATGTCACATAATGTAATATCGAGTTTTCATAAAAAAATATTTGATGTCATAAAAATTATTATTATTTAACCACTTAAGTAACTTCTTTAGATTGTCGTTCAGCATTTTCATGTCGATCAAATAATTCTTTCTAAATCCTGTTGATCTAAGCCTCAAGAAGCTAAAGAAACTGATTTATCTTACTAAATACGCTGTTTGTTTTTTTTTTCCAATGAAGGTCTTGATAAATAATCTCGAAGTCTTGATAATATACTTAGAAATTAAGATTAATAAAATAAATTTGATTAAGATTAATAAATAATTAACGTTTTATTAATATTTCTCATCAATTGGAATAATGTGAATTTGGTATAAAAATTACTATTACTTGTTATTGAATCAGACTGAACTAAATACATTATTTTTTAAAACTGAAAATTTAACCGATATATCGATATATTTTATTATCGTTATATTTTTTACGACTTTTGGCATCCCTAACATAGTGTTATCATGTTATTAATTAATTCCTTAGGCCTTAAGAATTAATTTATACAACTTCTAATAGGAGTTGTATAAATTAATTCCTAAGGCTTCCTTAATAAGACACGTACAACCGTAATTCTTTATAAATTTGGTAAAACATTTATTTATTTGAAACTAATATGTTATGTTCATTAGGTGTATATTTTAATAAATTTATTAGAAGCCTCGACCCGGGGCGACGTCACTAATTGAAAGATTGAATAATGTTTTTCTCAAAATCTAAATGGTGACGCCGGTTGTTTACGGTAAAGAAGTATAACTTCTTAAGTTATTTTTTACGCCAAACTTACGTGTGTGCATAACTACACACACATGTGGGTTTTTAAGTGTGCTCAGAAAAAACAACGTAGCTGGTACAGGCATTTCGTCATATTAAATACGTAAGTTATAAGTTATAAAAGTTCTAAACTGTGATTAATCACGAAATTCACGTTGAACGATTGGTCACGTAGATCAAAATACAGTAATTACCTAATTTATGAAAATTAATAATCATGTACGAGATTAAAAAAAAAAAAAATTTAATTCCGTTGTCGCAGCTTCGACACAAACCCGATTTGGTCAGCGACCGTTAACGCCTCATTGCACTAGTGACTAGATCAAAGAGTACTTTTGTATATCTGAAATCTTTTGTATATCTGGACTAGATACTTACATTATCAAACACACATCGTTCCTACGGATGTAACATTGAGGGGAAAAAATCGATTAATTAAAAATCCATTTTTCTGTTTTTTTAAATTAATCGATTTGGGAAAATAATTTAATGAATGACGACCAGTGCAAGTGAGTGAGTAGTCGATAGATGCAGGTGGCTCAGGATCGTGCTTCGTGGCAGTCTGTGGGGAAGGCGTATGTTCAACCATAAGTTTTGGTACATTGATAATGTTGCCTTTTGTCTTCTGTTTTATGGACACTTTCTAGACCTTGAGAAAATACTTATAATACTTTGCAATCCATTAACACGTTGAACACCACGTGAAAATATAATACTTTTCATTGGAGCCACGCGAGTCACCGGTGAGCCAAACCATACTGAATCGTTGGGGTCACGCGGGTCACCCGTGAGCCACACCACGTCTTAGATTCAAACCTATTTTACTGGCCACTACACGCTGATATCATACAAAAATGTTAGTAGCGTGGGCTGCGTGGCCTCCTACAACAACCCAGTCAGCTTGGTTCTCATGTCTCGCAATAGACTTAGAATTTATTCACAGTTTTCTTTACTTTTGTTAGGTTGTTCTTTACTAAAAAATAAAAAAGTGGATATATTGCATAAAGGAGAATCTGTTATTAGTTGTTTAATGTTTCTTTATAAAAATGAATTAAATTACAATCTTAAATACAAAAAAGTCTGCAGTCCGTGCCTTGAAGCATGGTGCGGATGACACCTGTCATTCAAATCTGATTTACACATCGTCACAATCGTCACAAATTACGGAACTATCAAATTCCGTAATTTGTGACGTTACTGTGTGTGCAAACAATGTTGTATTTTATTGCTAGGGTCGCTTGGACAGTAATATTCCTTGTGTCGTTTCTTCGTATCACAGATGATAATTTAAATAAATCGAGTAACACTTTTCTTTTTAAATTCAAAATCTGAATTTGTGGATATCAATACATTGAAAAACCCTTCTCTGTATATTTATTATAATAAAAAGGTTTTTTCCCCAAATTAAATTCCGAACCTTTTTTTCCTAATTTTACTACCATTGCGACGCGTATAACATTCATTTTATACCCGTGGTTACACGTTTTTTCTGATAAAGTTCAAAAATGAGTGACAGATCTGACCTAGAGTAGTCCAATTAGGCAATTTCATGTAGTCTTGTGGTCCCTACCCCTAGAGTGAATATAAAAATGCGGAGCCAGAAGCTCGTGTCGGAAATAAATAAAAATAATTATATAGATATAAATATTGTATATAATACATACATAATTGGATCCAAACAGACTGAAGCCCTCGGCAGGAGAGACCAAAGGGACGAGGGTTAGGGTGAAAGGGAGAAAAAACCGGCGGACGATGCGGGCGGTATCGAGGCGCACCGTCTTCTGTATTTGAGCTTGGAGCGTTCCGTCCCGGAGTCCTAGTCGCCTCAGATGGTCGGAGTGGCTGACTGGGATTAACCCATTCGCAGACACGACTATCGGGATAATTTCGGTCTACCCACCATCCCACATGTCGGTCTCCTTCATTCATTCAGGTCCAGATATTTCATATTATCTGTTTCGGCTTCCACGAGGTTCTATGGAACGGTAATGTCAACGATTAAGTCATTCGATTTTAATATTTTTTTGCTTAGGTTGCGGTCCCATGTGGTCCATGTTATATCATTGGTATTAGATAGTCAAAGTAAATTAATTGGTATTACACTAGTGACTACCGCCGTATCAATGATGCGGAGCTTCCCGGCTACCGATTCCCCAAACGTATCAAAGCAAAAATTCCCAAAATGTTATCCACAATCTCGCTTAAACTCATAGGCCGTAGGTACTTCTCGGTTTACTGCAGTGATGGCCCTATACGTTTTTAATCCTCGGCACGTAACGTTTAACATTTTATAGACATTATATCATGTTTGAGAGTACTGCTGGACAGACCCTATTATAAAAAATTCACAATTCTTCAGTTCAAGTTCTAAATTTAGCTAAGAAACTTTTACAATTTAGTTCAACGAAATATTGGAATAGTGAAACACTGGTCATCGT